TCTTTAAGAAGGGAGTAGGAGTTTATTCCACAGCTCCTTATCTAACTGTCCAAAAGTCAGTCTCTAATTTAAGCTAGTCCCTAAGACTCTCCAGAATCAATGGAAGCGTTTGTCTCTTCAGATGGCTGTTAATTCTGGCTGTCTTAGGCACTTCCAGATTTTCACTCCAAAATACCTCTCTGTCTCTCCCCTGATTGTAGGAGTGTGAAAAATCCTGGACACCTGAATGTTGCGTGGCTCCCCGCAGGTGAAGGTAAACCCTGCCCTGTATATCCACTCACCTGCACCAACATCCTCTGCTACTGGCTGTACAGCTTAACAGTGTGCTACGTGCCCTGTGTTGTTTCAGACATAAATAGCTATAAAGCAGTAGTTTTCCACTCCTTGTTTTATACAGAATGGTAAATAACTCTTAGCAACGTCATTATATTCCTGATTTTAAAGGGGTTGTTTTTACACATATAATTACCTCCCAAAATGAAAGACACTGTGCATCTTTCATCATCTCTGTTACTCTGTGTACTTTTTTCCAGTTTTGCTACATCACTGCTGAGATTGAGGACTGCTCCATTTCTTCCCGTTAAAAATGCACACACAGACAGTGCTTCCATCGGGATTGCTGCTTGAATTTTAGAAGTTTTAAAATGTCATTTAAAAATAATGCTAAAAGATTTCTACAGAAGTATGAATACTTTCAATGGAACAGGGTGAAGAGGATTAATCCTTAGAAATTACATTGATAAAAATACAAGCTCTGATATCAAGCTTATTCTGTATCATTTTAGATGTCTGATTAACAGTTCATGTACTCCCAAGTCATTCACCTTCTATCTACTAGTGTAAATAAATAACCTGATTTGAAAAGCCTCCCTGTCATTTTTTGAATGCAAGAGGAAAAGCAGTAACATTACAGAGAAAGGGAAAAAGAATAATGCTCAAATGAAATTCTGCAGCTTCCTCAGTCCTGGCAAATTGCATGTAAGAACAATGTCACAGAAATCAGAATGAAAAAAAAAAATAGTTGATTTGTCTCTTCTGCACCATAGGAAAAGGCAAATAACTATTTAAAAACCTTTCAATTACGGAGGTCCGCACAATTCCTATTGGAATAACCATTTTCCCAGAGAACAGAACAATTTGGTTTTCCAGCATTATGCGACTATCAATCAAGTTCTGTCTCGCATGGGTGACAGCTGTAGTGGTCTTATCCCTATAGTTGAGTTTCCAGTCACTCACATGAGTCTCAATTTTAACAGCTGCTTTTCGTTAAGGACATAGCAGTAATGTGAGTCTTCTTCAGCTGGGGCAAATCTAGAGAAATACTTAAGTATAGGCTTAATTTATACTAAATGTATTCCTATTCATGGAAATTACCATAACGCGGCATTGTGATGGACTTATTGCAGGGAACTGTGACCTCTATATCAGTGAAAAGACGCTCAAGATTCTTCTCCCAGTTGCTACTAAGACCTATCTAACCTGGTCTCTGTAGTTCACAAACTACTCTGTAGCGAAGGACAATGTTAAGAGAGTAAGCAGATGTTACATTTCCAGGTCTTCCAAAAATCTGGTGGGTTTAATAAGTTTCTTCCCTCCCTCTTTGCAACTCATTTCAGAACTTACCGACACGAAAGCTTCTGATTTTGTCTCGTTCAGCTGCAGTGTCAGTTTATTTTGAGTATCGTACACTCCATATAGTCTCTTAGACCAACTTGGAGGTATTTTATTCTTGTATCTTAATGAGCTATACAGGGCAAATATCCTTTGTAAATCCAGGACCAGGCAGCTACAGTTGTATACGATGACACCAAGTTCCTTCATCTGTGAAATTAAAAGTTTGTATCATTAGTGATATTTTGCTGATGGACCTGTAGAAGTATGCAGCAAGAATGTAAGAGTGTCTGAGGGGTATCTTCCAGAAGCATACCTTGAGCTCAGCAGTTGTACTGTCATCTACAAGAACATTCCTAACAATACTCTTTTAACAAACACATAAATTATCAGAGTCATGAGTGGGCAAAAGCTGTAACAGGGTTTGTGTGTTCAGTGTATGTCAGAGCCACATGTGCTGATAGAATACAACACACCTGAGGGACGGACACAACTTAGGAGCAATACCCATCTGTCATAGGCACCATTTTTGTTACAGGCGTTCCCCAAGGTTTACTACTTTTGGCTACAGTGGTTATTTATTATTTTTATATTATTTTGTTTACAGGAAAAGCATCCTTTCTGCTTGATGATGTAGGAGCACACAATGTTACCAGTGACAGTTTCTTACTTGAGAAATTATTTGTTTCCTGTGAGTTCTGGAAAAGGTGAAAGAAACGGACTTAAGTTATTTCTTTGCTGAAGAAGGAATATGATGCTCCAGCTTCAAAAAAAAAAAGGATGAAGAAACCGGCATTTAATGCTATCAGTAGCTAAATTCACTGTGCTATTAAATCCAGCGTGATCAAGTCTACAGTATACCCAATTAGGACACAAAAAGGTTGGGTTCTTAATTCTCCCACTGCTACGGTATGGTACCTCACCTAGGGTACTCCATTCTTGCATACGAAGTATGAAGAAAAACAGCCCCAGTAAATATAGATGTCATACTACAATTAAATGCTTTAACCAGCTACGGACACAGTCTCACTTCTCTATTTAAGTAAAGGCATGTCTGGTGGTCATTGTAAATCTTGGCTTGGCAGAGATTTCATTAATTCCACATCCCTAGTACCTAAGTTGTTGACAGAATTTCATTTATAAAAAGATTGCCTGGCTTCTGTAACCAAAGTGTAACCACACGCACACTTTTTCCCTTCCTTTGCTTTATAATAGCTCAGGAAAGCACTGCTGTGGGCACAGATGCTATTGACCTCTTATTACATGCATTTCACACTAGCTCAGCCATCTCCAAAAGTAAAGCGAGAAGAAAACCTGCATGTATATGTTGGAAAACAGTATACTGTATAAATATTTAAAGGATTCATGCTGGTTTTCTGCAAGCAAACACTCTTGGTAGCACGTCTCAGAAGTCTGTCTGGTATGATGAAGAAAATAAAGCGAGTATGAACTCTCCAGCATGCTCAATCCTTTGACACCAAAAAATCCCCACTGTTTTTACTCCCTTAGATGAGCCCCCCACAGGCACATGGAGTAGTTTCTGGTAGGCACATATCTTTTTGTAAAGCCTGCGGGAACTCTGAATTGCCACACTGAGGTTACCTCAGAGCTTGTTCCTGCGCAATTCTCCCTGACTGCAGATGAGAATTACTGTGCAAGGGTGGGCAGAGGAAGGGGACCGCAGGATAAAATTGAATTTTCAACTCTTTTTCTATGGATGGTGTGAGGAAACAACAAATCCCAATACTTCAACGAGAAAGAAACTATGGGTGACACCTTCTTAAGGTCCACAACCTGGAAATAGCACATACATAAGAACATGCAACACCGAGTGATCTCATTCCCAAATATTTACTGAATAGTTGCAACCACAGGAAAATTACCTAATATTCTTACTGTCTAAATCAGAATATTTCTGCAAGCTTCCTTAATTCAGAAAAAATACAGAATTCCTTCATTAGCCTGCTCAACCTGAAGTTTGTGTTGGAAAATACAGACTACTTACTGCACTGCAGCCTTTCATTTATGGATAAGCCAGTAAATTAATTTTGATGATAAATATAAATTATTCCAAGCTATGCCCAACATCTTAGTCAAACAGTCTATTTGGAATATCATCTTTGGTTTCTCCCCTAGGAGCTGGTATCTTTGAGGACACTCCTGTATTCAGCTCTAGGCTGTCCCTGTACTCTATGCACTGTTTGTCTCCAAACATTTTTGACTATACATTATCACTGTTTTCACTGTGTGCTGCCAATACTGTTCTCTTAATTGCCAGGCATGCCACTGCAAAGGACTTACTAATAGTGTTCTGTTACATCTATCTGCATAATGTGGTTTAATAGGCTTTTCATGGCTGTTAGTTGATTCTGACATAATTATGTGGTTACAGTTTTGCTTTCATTTATCACTCCCATTATTACTATTCCACTTTATCCACTCCGTTAAAAGTAAAGATAAAATAGTGTCCTCACAGCATACCAGAAGCTGCCAGGATGGCTTCTGCACGAGCAGCTCTCCTCAGAGCAGCAGTGCCTGCAGCTTGTCCTCTCCCTACGAGTTAAAGGATTGCCCTTCTGCCTAAGTGCTTCCTTGGGTGCAGCGGTCGGGAGGAAGCCTGGGCCACTGAGGGGGTTGAGTGCAATTTTTAGAGATCGCCACTTAGGCTGACTGTAAGCCGACGCGTTAGCTGTGCCTCACCGCCAGCCTCTCCCGCGAACGGCCGCGCACAGGGACCGGCCGGTTTTGCCCAGGAACTTCCCCCCTCCCGTGGGAGCGGGCGTCTGCCGGTGCCAGTGGTGCCCTGGGTGAGGCCCTGCCGCTCACCCGCTCGCAGCGGGTACACTCAAATCGCAGACTGGGACGAAGCCCTGTCAAGAAATGGATTTACAGCGCAGTAATGAGCCCTGGCTTCCCACGGCGTTGGGTCTTGCCGTTGGCTTCTCTGGTGGCAAGCACCGATCAAAGCTTTTGCTGCTTCTGAAGCCGTGAGAAGAGCTCTCCCACACATGGATTCCCTGGTACCCGATACAGACTCGGCTCCTCCTTTCCCTCTCTGGGAACACAGTTATGCTTTTTACCCAGCTGCCTGTTTTCATTAAGCTTTTAGGAACTTGATCTCAAATTTGCCTGAACCTGGAAAGCAGAGTCAAAGTTATTAGAAGAGTGCAGACAGCAACTCCAGTGCGCATTGTGCAGACCTCATTTCCTTAGGAAGCCAGGTTAGATGTCAGCTTGTCACCTCATGGCCTTGGTTTGCGTGCGACACATCACCTTGAAATGGAAGCACTACAAACGGTGCACAGGTGTATGCAGTAAAACCCCAGCCCTCTCCTTTGTCGTAGAACAGCCGCAATAGGTTTGGAGACCAAAAAAAAATTCTCTGTTTCAGAAGAGTTTTCCACACTGAGCCTATTTTTACTCCCATACTGTGAGGTGAGGAGAGACTGCTCTTTTTCCAATTAATCACAAAGCCTGTCATCCTGGAGACACTGCAGAGAGTGGGCAGCAAGGATGCGCTAGTGACAGATTTAGCATGAAGTGGTATGTCATCTAGATAAGGGAAAAGACTTCTGTCTGAGAGCTGCTATTATTACAGACTTTTTTTTTCTAGTAGTCTCAGAGAAGCAGAAAAACTCTTACATTGAAAGAATCAAAATTTGAGTGTTGCTCCCTGGCTTGCAGTGACTGAAACCTGCAGCTAAGCATCATCTGAGATACCTGGTAAGGTAAAACCCTTCAGGGCCAGAGCTCTTAAGGCAAGGGAAGGATTTCTTCAACCCGAGTTTTAAAAGCAGCTTACACAGTAATGAAAATATCACTGAAAAATTGAAGTGAGGATGATCTCAAGAAATCAAAACCTAATAAAACTAAGGAAGATAAATCTGAAATGAAAATAAAGAGTCACAAATTTGCCTCAAAATGGAACCAAAATATTTGGATGTTAAAGTTGCAGTGTTGCTTGTGAGTGACATTTTCAGAGTTCATGTGCTGGGGACAGGAAAGGTTTTTCTGCATAGAGAATTTTGTGTCCTCTCATGAGCAGGTTTCATTCCCTCTTTGTTAAGAGCCACCATGAGTGCTGCTCTTAAAGAACGCAAAACATGGGAGCTGGTTTTCCTTGTTCCCTATGCCATTTACATTTGTGCAGAGCAGCTATTAAGGCTAACAACTCACCGTTTGTCTTTCTTGCTAATAGGGGCTTTCTTAAAGCACCAGAGAAGTGAATGGCTACACAAGACTCAAGAAATGGTAGCTTATACCCAATGTACAACGATGCTCTAACTACAGAAGTCAGGTAAGCTACAAAAAGTAACAAATATGGCCTAGCTAGAAAAATACCGATTTTTATGACAAGAGGAGGAATTCCTTACTAGACTGGACAAAGAGTAGGATTTCACACAAACAGGAATTTCTGCTTATTCTTTTCCCTTGTACATTTGCAGGCATCACATATGAAATTAAAACACGGGAGAAGAACCTAAACAATATAGGTAGTGGACCCCTAATACTGTAAGCTTCATAAACTAAGAAGCAGTGTTAGCAAGACTTTTCAAATACATTTGGATCATGGGTTAGACAGGGTGTACGCTGTGTCCTTGTCTTACACTGTGCAGACTAGACAGTGTGTTTTATATTTACCTTGAGCTACACCCTAAGAGACAACCCCACTGTGTAGGCAAGGTACTATTTGACCTACATAAGCGTGGCACAATCTGGTTCACAGCTTGCAATACCTGAATTGTGGCAAACGTAGCAGGAGGCTTTAGAAAACTCCTTCTTAATTTATTTTAAAGAAAAAGTTTTTTGTAGTTGCTCACACTTGAGCCCGATCCCAAAAAATCTGTCCTCAGGCATTAACAGCCATTTGCCCAAAAGCTCTGGCCACCGGCAGGTGCTGGGCATCCCTTGTTTGTCCTACAGAAACTCTGGATTAACTACACACAGTCTATTGCACACGAAATTAGTAGAAAGTAGACTTTTTATAAATACAGGACTGTGTATGAATCTGCCATTTGCCTGTGTTTGAGAATGTATTTAATTATGCTTTCAAGCCTGTGATTTCTTTTAATGACCAATTTCCAAATGAATGACTGAGCAAAACCAAAATCACAAACCAGTTCAGTAATGGAGTAACAAAAAGCGTGCTATACTGATAAATCAATTACTAAAGGGACCTAAGATTTTTAATAGCTTCTAAAGAATAATAA